AAAGATGGCAGAGCTGGGTTTGAATGCAGCTGCATAACTGCAAGCCCAAACCTCACCCTGCACATCACTTCTCTGACAAGTATAGGAAGGGGGATGAGGCCCACACAGTGGTGGCCTGCCCTGAGCGCACTGAGACCAGGACAGAGCGATCTGTGCCCCAACAAGTGCGTGGAACCCTTGCAGTTCATAGGGAGACGCGGTGCCGGAGATTGAGATGTTCCTGAGCAGGCAAACTTGTGAGGGCCCAGGCAGGTGGGGGAGGGATGGCACTACTGCACAGACCCTGAGTGAGCAAACGGAGTGGGGTGGGATGAGGCTGGCGACGGCAGGCTGGATTATTTGCAGAACTGCTACATTGGTCTGCGGGGCCCAGTGCAAAATAACAATCTGGGAACTTTATTCAAAAATGATTGAGATTTCCAAGACAGAGACAGCAGACAACTGAGGCCAGTATGGGGCCTTTCTAAATGCAGGTGGCATGGCCTGGGTCCTGACCCTATGGTTCGGTTGGAGCGTAACATGGCAGGGAGGTTTGAGCACAGGCTGCAGACCTAAACTTGGTTCCAATCCTGGCTTTAGTCTTTAAGGGCATGAGGATTTTGGTTAAGTCACTTAAGATTATCTGAATGTGGGACTGAGGAATTGTGGGACTTTCCTCAAAGTGTATTCATGGATCAACTATCCTTCCTCTGCAAAAGTACCTTATCGGGAGGATTTTTTGAGGATCTAAGAAGATGATGCCTAGCCTAGTACGTGATAAATTGTAACAAATATTAGTTACTATGACTGCAATCGTTGTAGCTACTATCACTAGGGAGAAATGGGAGTGATGCTGGAAGTGTAGTGCACCGCTGTGAGAGGGGGACATCGAGGGGTACTGGTTCCCTGGCTTCAGCCACATCACATCCTGGGCTAGGGCCCCGTCTGGAGGGGAACAGAAAGAGTGGAGATGACATCAGAGGTTCTGTTTCAAGGCCTCAGAGTGGCTCCCTACCTCCCAGGCTTCTGTTGGGGTGACCTAACCAGGGCCACTGGAGGGGCTGGCCTGGCTCCTGTATTCCTCAGCACAGGAGCCCCACCTGCCAGCACCAGCCTGGGGTAGCTGACTGTGGGCTGGATTGGAGGCAGATGAGCTCATGCTCACAGGCCTGGCCAGCAAGGCTGGACGCTTCTCGTGGCAGGAGCCTGTCAGAACTGCCAGCTGGACGTCAGGATGAGTTGGAGGGCCTGGTGGTGCCCAGATGCCCATGACCAGCAGGTCTGCTGAGTGTTTGATTACATTCCCAGACACCCCAGGCAAGACCAGGGCTGGTTGTTCCCACTCCTGCTGGGTCCCGTCTGTCAGTGACAGAGCTGGCATCACAGGCTTAGGCCCCATGGCCCACCTGCCTTCCACCTTCTGCTTCTTTCTCTCTGCTGCAGGCTACAGTCCTTACAGGCCAGGTGGCCTGAGCCCCTGATGATTTCATCCTCCTTAAAGGCATCATGTCCCTTTGACAGCCGAGCTTCAAGCCTTTCCCAGCTACAGGTCCATAACCAAGACTCCAGGGTCACTGTTCAGTAGCTGTCTCCCAGCCTCACCCCTGTTGTGCGACCCTTCCTGGGGAGAATTCAGTAGAATGGAGGGGATTTCAGCCCTGGAAATGACAGTTTTTATTTCATGTTCATCCAACATGTCATCTCAATGCCCGAACTGTGCCCAGTGAGCTGACTCTTCTCTTGAGACTGGTCTTTCCCGGTGGGCCTCATTCCTGGGCACCTACTCTGGGTATGGCAGCACATGGGGGCAATGCCGCTCCCTCCCTAGGGGCTGTCTTGATTATAACACTGAAAGTCCTGCATCTCCAGAAACCCTTCAGTCCTGGGCCAAGTCTGGTGATGGTCAGCCAACCCTGCACATGCCTCTATGATTTCCATTGAATAAACCTGAGCCTTTAGCCGGCCCCAAAAGGAATCAAAGGGCTTCAGTCTGTTAAAAAATGAAAAAAATACTCTCTGAGCTTCTGGACTCTGTGGGCACAAGTTGCCACCTAGCTAGAGTTTTCTTCTTGCTCAAGCCCATGGTTTGCACTCTCTATCACATGGCAAAAGGACAGATTCCTCTAAGGAAAACCTAGACCAGAGCTCAATGCCTGCTTCACTGAGGCAGGGAAACTGAAATGCAGATATGGAATTCAGAATCAGAGGTACTTCTTCTTAGCCTACAGTGTGCCTGGCATCATGTAGGAAATACTGATGCCTGGGGCCCAAGCCCAGAAAGTCTGGGCATCAGGATGTGGAAGCTTGCCAGGTGATGCCAAGTCCAGCCTTGGTTAAGAACCACTGGGTTAGACAGAGATCCATCCCTGAGAGCTTAAAAAGGAGTGGGCAGGAGTCGAGGGAAGAGAGGCACACAGAGAAACTGAACACCAAGCAGAGAGCCACAGAGGCTCCACCAGAGGGCCATGGGGAGGGGAGAGAGGCCAGAGCAGGGCAGGCCGGGGCTAAGGGGTTCAGACCAATCGGAGCCGGAAACTTAGCTGGGTGAGACCAGTGACTTGGGCAGGTAGTTAAAGCTTTTCTGAGCTTTAGTTTCTTCATCTGAAAAGTAGAGAATGATAACAGTGCCTAATCCAGTGTAGTGGTGCTCAGAGAAATAAGATAATCCCCCCAGAGTGCTGAGCCGAGTGCCTGATGTGAAGATAGCTATTGTCTTCAGGTCAGCGGAGCTCGCAGAGGGGAGGTGGTGTATGGGCTCTGCCAAGGTGGCTAAATACAATGTTAGATGTTGGGAAGCTGTGAGCACACACTCAGGAATGAGATGTTTCCAAGCATGCTTGCGGAGCACGAAGGAGTCCAATTTCTCTGGTGCTTCAGGAACTAAAGGCCAGAGGATTCCCCAGTTAGGTCCTCTGTCCAACAGGGAGAAGGACTAGGTCCTGGGTCAGAAGTGGCAGAGGAACTGGAGAGGAGAGGATGAATGTTGGCAGCATTATGGGGTTCTGCAATCTACCCCAATACTTCTGCTTATAGACAGTCCCAACACTCGACAGGCTGGAGGCCAGCCTTGGCCCAGATGGGAGCCCAAAGGAAGGTAGTTGCCTGCCACCCCTCACATGACTAGTCAAAGGGCTCGTGCAGCCACCCAGCCACCCTCAATTTGGGTTAATGCCTAATCAGCCCCGACCTGGAGACTTGGGTGGTAATCAGTCAGTGGATAATTGCCTAGGTTAGCCTTCCCACTAGAGCTGACCACGGTAGCTCCTCTCATGCTGCAAACCCCTAGGCCTCTGACCCAGGACTGAAGCAGCTAGAAGGAGGGAGGCTGGGAGAGTCTTCTCGGTACAGAGCTCTTCTGGATGTGTTGGGCAGCACATCACAGCACCCTGCTTGATACCCTGTGGTCCTCCCCAAAGTTGGTGACAGATCTCTGAGGGCATGGCCCATAGTGGCTGCAGCAGCTCCATTGAATGTGTGTCTCCTGAGAGCTGGGAAATAGCCTAGAGCCTCCTCACTCCTTCACAAGCAACAAGACCAGAACCTGAAAGGTTGCACTTATCAATAGAGACCAGCCTAAACTTCAAGAAAATTAAGTTCTAGCTATAGAACCAGGCCTCAGTTTTGGTCACAGGGCACAGGAAGTGGATCTGTTCTGGGTGGTCTCAGCAGTTGTAAGCCCATTTAACAAATGAGGAAACAGAGACTTAGCAAACTGAAGTCTTGCCTGGGGTCACATGCTTATAATAATAGTGGTGATAAGGATATGTAGAATTCTTGTTTATTAACCAGGTTAGGGGCTGCTGCTCTGCTGAGCATCAGGTTGAATTGCTAAGAGTCAGAACTGACTGATTGGAGAGGTAATGAGCTCCCTATAATTAGAGGTGTGGAAGCAAACTCTCACTTATTTGCCACTTAAAGTGCAGAGGGGCTGCAAGTTCTTGGAGGAGAGCAGGGATTGGAGAGGATGGTTGCAGGGACATTTTCAACTCTATAGGGCAGGAAACACTTCATTTGTCTCTCTGCCCCCAGTGCCTGATATAGGGCCTGGAAAAGAGTGAGCACAGGGCCTCACTTGTGTGTGCTAGCACAAGACAGGCGAAGGAATGCATGCTGTGACTGAAAAGCATGGCAGTGAGAGAGGGAGGAGGGCTAAAGCTGGTCTGACTCTACTTACCTTCCCTTAAAACACTGGTTCTCATTACAGGGAGCACCCTGGGATCATTTGGGGAGCCAGAGCAGAGAAGCACCCCATAAAATGTGCCAAAACTAAGACGTCTTGCTTCTCGGAGATACCAGGCACTGTGCTTTGCACTTACACACATTATCTCATGAATCTGCACAGCCTTATGAAGCAGGGATTCCTGTTACTCCCATTTCACAGATGGGGGAGCCGAGCTTGGAGAACTTAAGATACTTACAGAAGAAGTCACAGCTAGTAACAATAATAAGAACGACCTTGTATGGAGGACTTTACGTGCCAAGTGCCTCCCATCAACCTTCCTCTCACTGAATTCTCTTAACAACCTTGTGAGGTAGGAGTTATTATCTCCACCTTTTAAAAAAGGGAAACTGAGGCTCAGATTAAGTAAGTCCTCCAAGGTTACTGAGCTAGTAGGTGGCCATGTCAGGGTTTGAACCAGGCCCTGTGTGCTTAGCTGTAGTTGGGGGTGTCTGATCTGCAGCATGGACGAGGGGCGTAGACAAGGGGTGTGGAGAGAACGCTGGCTTAGAAAGCTAGTGACCTGGGGCCCTTCCCAGTCCCCTCATGGTCTCTGTGTGTCCTCAGGGGAGCGCTACCTATGTAGGGCCTCAGTTCATCCCTCTGTAAAACCGAGAAGGGAAGTGGAGATAAGCCTGATTTCTTAGCAGCTTTGCAGCCGTCATTTTCCATGACTTGATTCCCCACTGTGAGTTCTGGCCACAAACCAGTTGGCTTCCTCCCTCCCTCTCAGTGAAACAGAGAGCGGGCAGGAGGGGATGGTCCGCCTCAATTCCCCCACCTCCTCTTCCCTCCTCCTCCTGGGCTGGGACACACCTACTCTGACTTTCTCAGCAGCCTCTTCAGAGCGCCTGCCTTCCTACTCCGTGTGTCTGCACTCCCTCCCCAGCTTGTCTGTCAGCTTGGTGCTTGTGAAAGGGGCTCCAGCCCAGCGGCCGACCCTGGGGCACTCTCCCCTACCTGAGGGGCGCAGGTAAGGGCTGCTAGAGGATGGGAAGTTGGGGGAGGGGCCGCAAAGAGATTCCATTCTGCGCCTTGTCCCAGAGCTGGCTCTGGGGGCTTTGGGAAGGTGGGGATGGAACCAGGAGATGCCCGGGCAGGCTTGGCAGGGGTCAGACAGGGGCACCTGGGCCCTGGGTCATCTAGGTGCACTGAACAAAGCCAGGTATAGCCGGTTCAAGGCTGGGGCTGGGGACTGGGGCCCCAGAATGGACAAGGCCTGGACTTTGATCTCATGGAGGAGCAAGGTCAAATTTGCGTGCATGGAAAGTTGGACTCCTGTCCTTGGAAGAATGAAATTCCCTTCCTGGGCTTTCTGAGGATGAGCCTTAAGGGGGATTTGGGGACAATTTCCTTCATGGCTTTAGGAGGAAGTGCTGGGGCCAGGGAACTGAGAGGTGCTGGCCTCTTGTGTGTGTCCATGGGGTCACTGGGGCCCTATCACAGACAAAGCCACCTGGTCAGGAGGAGAGAGGGAGGCCTGAGCAACAGTCAGATAACCTGGCCAACCCTGACTCTCACACAACTCTTTAGAGGCACCTGGATTAGAACCTCAGCTTTCCTGACTGTAAAATGGGAATGTTCACCGTCTCCAGGCACTGAGAAGGGCTGCCAGTCTGAGAGGCACAAGACATGGCCCTGGGGTGAGGTAGGGGCTGTGGGGCAGCTCTGTTCCCCTGTCTTGCAGGAAGCAGGAATTGAATGCATATCTTTGGAGGCAGGAGGGCTGGAGTGGAACTCTGAACAGAACCACCAGGCCAGGGTTCAGTCTTCCACTGGGGGGGGAGGGTGTGCTATTTGCCCCAGTGTGGGGGCCAGTTTCCCCAGGGCTCCGAAATGCTGCCTCTGTCCCCAGCAGCCCTCTGGAGCTAACCGCCTGGGCTCAGGAGAGGGGAAGGAGGTAGAGGAGCATGCTCAGGCCCCAGGCAGGTTCCCAGGGCCCTCCACCCAGGACACTGCTATAGTTATTATTACAGATGAGACTCCTTGGATGCTTCCTGTGTTTGGAAACTGGGCTGAGTATACATGTGCATTTGAAAATTTTGAGGTTTTGAAGTAGGCGAGGTGAAGAGAGCATTTCATTGTTCATGTCTCAGTAACTCATAGGCTTTGTGGTCTCTGGGCCGATTTCCCTGCGTATAAAATAGAGGTGGTTCAATTACTGTTCAGATCCGCTCTTAATCGATTCTCTCCAACAAGCCTGTTGGGTAGACAGAGCACGAATGGTGGCGTGCACTTGGCAGGTGAGGAACCCAGGGATCTGGCAGGCTTGGGTTTCCTCCGGGGCTCTCCATGGAGCACAGGCTGTCCCCTGGCAGGAGTTGCTGAGTCCTTGATGTTGGTAGCCTGTTGCAGTGAAATAGCCACCCCCGCACCCTCTCCCAGCCAAGAGCTCCCCAGGCTTCAGTTTCCTCACCTATAACATGGGGGATGAATTAGAGGGAGTCGAGGTCTCCCTGGAACCCCTCTGATTCTATGGCTCTTAGTGGTCTCCTTAAGGACCCAGACCCAGACCCAGAAGGACACGGGCACTCTCCAGCCCTGACGTCAGCTGGGCAGTGCTGTCTACGGTGAGGGCTGCCAGGCTCCCTCTACACCAGCCCTGCTTGAGTTGGGCCACCGTGATCTGCTCTCTGCACTCTTCCCTGGGTGCAGATGAACTCACCTCAGCCTGGAAGTTCTCCTTCTATCTGACCCATGCATGACAGGCGCCATGGCGCAGGTACTGCTGCTAGCCAGGTGGGGCCTGGTAGGAGAGAACATGGGGCAGATGCCAAGCCTTAGAAAAGACCCGTGTGTGCTGGGGTCGACAGGGTGGGTAGAGCTGGGGGCCTTCTGTACCCCCTGGATGGGCCCTGCCTTTTGGGTACCTTTGGTGCTGGATGGGCAGAGCTTCAGGAAGCTTCCCACCTTCCTGGGTTCCCAGCACAAGCTGAGCTAGTTCAGAACCACAATACTACTATTTCTACGACTAATGGTGCTAATGCTTCCATTTATAATGGGTATTTCTAGATAGGTTTATAAAGAAAAGTGTGGGTCCAGATCCTGTATGTCACTAGTTGTGGGACCTGAGCCTCAACTAAACATCAGTCTCCTTGTTTGAAAAACAAGGCTAATGATAGTCCTTTCCTCAGAGATTGATGGGAGAATTCAGTGAGGGAATGCACATAGTGCACAGGGCCTTATTTATTAGGCTCACAATCATCAATTAATCGGCTCTTCTCTGCTCCCTTGGGGTGGAGACAATCTCACAGAACCCTCATGTGTTCTTTCCTAAGACAATTGTAGTTATTAGTTATTTGTGGGTTTTTTTGATATTGTCTCTCCTGCTGAGTGTCCTTCACTGCTCCAGTACCCATGTCTAGTGCAGTGACTGTCACATGAAAGAGGCTCACTCTGTATCTGTTGAGAGAATGAAGGAATCTTATTTCTAATTCACAGATGGGAACTGTCGCTTAGAGGGACAAAGCTTTAGCCTGACCCACTCACAGAGAAGAGTCAGGAGGGGATTCAGTCCCTAGAGATCAGATTTGAAGGCTGAACTAAATAAGGACAGAAAAGTGGGAAAGGCAATTCAGAAAGAGAAAGTAGCTTACACAAGGCACAAAGTGACGAAAGGAAAAGACAACAGCAGGCGTGTGCAGGAGACCATCAGCTAGGTGGGGAGCATTGGAGAGAAAGGCTGTGGTGAGTCGGATGGGACAGGTCGCTGAAGGCCTTGTGCATCAGGCCGAGGATATGGCTCTTTTATTTTTAAAAATGAAATTTATATATAATTTTTTATTAATTTGAAATTACAGAAATACAAAAGAACAAGCAGAACACTATTAAAAAATCCCACTACCCAGCTTCAACAATTACGTTTCTTCTATGCCTTACCAACTTCTTCCCTTACCAGATCACTGTGAAGCAAATCCCAGATACCTGACTGTATCTGAAAATATTTCTATATATATCTTTAAAACATAAGGACTTCAGAAAATCACCATAGGAGCCTGGGTTTTATTTTGTAAATATTGGAGGACCACACCACGCTGAAGGAGTTTAAGCTGCCACGTGCCTCTGCTAGGTGTGCATGGCTGTGGGGTGGGGAAGGACTTTAAGGAAGGGATTTGGAATAAAGGTTAAGATACCTTGCTGTCTCCACCTTGGCTAATTACAGTGCCTGACATTCCACCAATCAATGGGCATTGATTATCTCCTAAATGGCATCTACTCCCAGAAGAGATCATGCCTTAGCCGTTCTCCTGCAGAAGACAGAAATCCCTCTCCTGTCCCCACTCCTGAGTCTCTCTCCACTCCTGAGGCTGGAGCAGCCCCTACGAGGCAACCTGACATGGCAGTACAAGGCAGCTGTCGATTCCCTGGCTGGGGGCAGGGCACCCACAAGGGAGATTCTCCATTTCCCGGTTCCCATTCAGCTCCGGGGCCCCCAGCGGCTGGCCTCGGTGTGAGCTGAGCAGGATTGTACCTGCCAGCTCTGAGGTAACATTGGCGTGTGTGTGCATGTTGGCTGGAGGGTGCTCACATGTCCCAGGTCAGAGCTGCCGTCTGTCCCTGCAGCATCCTCTTCCCTTTGGGCCCTCCCAGCAAATGCAAGACTAAACAGCACAAAATGCATCATTTCAGATGCTCAGAAGCTTAGCCATGGGAAGTGGCAGAGCTTTATAATCAGTATGGCACCAAGGTTGGGCGTATGCGAGGTGGAGCTGGGACGTCTGGGTTCCAGTCCTGGCTATACCGCTTTCTCCGTGACCGTGCACACAGCACTCCATGTCTGAGAGTGTAAGGGTGTATGATGCTATCTACCCCACAGAGTGGCTGTGTGTTGATGCATATAAAGCTCTTAGCACAGTAGTCAGCACATACTAAGAGCTCACTAAACTTGAGCTACTACTACAGATTTGGGTCTCCTGAAGTCTGGAGAATTGCTCAGAGAATCATAGCACCTTGGAAAATTCATAATCCTAGAACCTCGAACTCCTGGAAGCAGATAATTTAAAGAACCCTATTGCATCCCTAGTAGAACTCTTTTCTGTGTGTAAAGATTCCTTATATAGTGTCTCTGACAAGTGGTGAGCCTGACCTTTCATCTTTTCATTCAAAAACATTAAAAAACAGAGTGCCGCAATTTTAAGTTACACCTTGATGACTTTTTACAGAGTAAACACAGTGGTGGCCAGGTAGCAACCAGAGCCAGAAGCAGACATCACCAGCCCCCAGGAGCTCCCTGATGCTCTTTGCCAGTGACCATGCCCACCCCAGGCATAGCTGTTATCCAGTCAGCCAGGCTGTTCGCAAATGCCTTCTCGTGGGGTTGTGTGCCATCACTGGGAGAACTCTGATTATTAGAGAGGTCCAGTGAGTTAATCTGGATGTTGCTAAACTAAACTTTACCTTTAAATTATTTTGTTTTTACTGCCTATTTCAGTTGGCAGCATAGTTTAGAGCTTCCCAAAGGCCTAGGGCTGTTTTTAAAAATATAGATTCTTCAACCCCATCTGAAGTCTACAACATGTGGTGACTGGGTGTGAGGCCAGAGAGTCTGTATTTTTACAAGACCTAACAGAATTCCAGGTGAGGTCCAACTGGGTTTGGGAACAGTGGACTAGTGGTTCAGAGCTTGGATTCAACTTGGACAGGCCATTTGTTCCAATCCATGCTCCACACTTGATGGCTATTGACCTTGGATGAACATTTGGACTTTCTGATCCTTGGCACGGTCCAGCCACGAGGAGTCGAGCAGGTCCTGAAGTGCGGAAGGGGGGCGAAGAAAAGAAAGAAAGACAGAAAGAACTGGGAGGGCTGACGCTCCCGTGCGGGAAGGGCATAGCCCGCTCTCAACAGACCCTCAGGGTTTTCATTTGTAAAATGGGGATGAAATGATAGCACCTACCTCCCTGGGTTGCTAAGGGACTCTGAGACACCCATAGGGCATGTGCTTACTACGAGATCTGAGCTGTAACCTGCATT